AGAAAGAAAAGAAAATAGAAAGTAAAAAAATAGAAAGAAAAGAAAATAGAAAGTACAATAGAAAGAAAGAAATAGAAAGAAAAAACTTTCTAAATCAATCCTTCCACAATCCTAGGAATATATACAATTCTATTTTTACACAACTACCAAATATAGATCTGCACCAGTAACCCCACGTTTTCCAACAGATCCTACTAAACCAGACAAGTGTATCTGGGTTCCTCATCCTAAAGGGTCTTTTTCTTGTGCTTCTTTGTTAGTAACTGATTTCTTTATTCTAACGTCTAAGTGAAAGTAGCATCTTGTGCCTCTCCAGGGGATGCTTATATTGTTTACTTCTTGCAACTATTAATATACAAGCGTTTTACTTATCAAAAAAAATGTTATAGGCATGGTAGCAACACTGTAAAATATGCAAATACATAGAATGGTATTTTATTATACGATAAAATAAACGTACGCACACCTTTTCACTTCCCTCAAGAATGTTTATAGGGAAGTAGAAAGGATTGCAAGAGATCTGGGTGCTGAATTCAAATGGGTGAGAAGTGCAAATAGGTTAGTTGATTCCCTTGCTAAACAAGGGGTAGCAAGGGAGAAAATGTTCTGGGCTTGTCACATAGTGTTGATTGTGGGGTTGATATCAAGATCATCAAATCAAAATTATATTATCTTTTCACATACAATTAATAAAATCAAAGTCTTACTGATTAAAAAAATCACTAAACAGAGCTAAGAATCTAAGGTTATAGACAAAATAATACATCGTGAAGTTGTCCTATAAACCTTAAGATTCAAAACTACATGATAGAATGAGTTCAAGTAAAACCTAAACTCATAGAAAATGCAAATGATTCTAATAGATCAACAAAATAATCTATTACGCAAAAGAAAACCAGTATTTAACTTCAGGTTTGGAATGAATATCAAGCTAGCTCAAAGTGGTAATCATGTACATTAAGTGAGCAATAACATTGCTACTCCACATATCTACAATATTGTCACCAACTTATGTTATAATACTATCTTTTGTACTCCACATAGCACTTGTAATTTTCACTAGGGAACATGTGGATTCCCGTAAAATTTCATGTCACTGCCCATGAAAATCGAAATATGTCATTGCCCATGGGAATATTAGGAAAGATTATGGACATTTTAAATCATTCACACAAGGACGGCCTATGAGCCTACCATATGTAGGGCCACCAGCATTATATCTTACAAGGTGAGAAAATAACTAGGGAAGCCAAAAGGAAGCAAAAGGCTCTCGTGCACAAAATCATAAAACTTAAGAGAGAAAAAAAAAAAAAAAAAACAATAGTATCAATTTTTCAAGAATGGGCATGGTTGAATCAATCAATACCCAACCTGAAGCTCTAAAAAGTTTTATTCGTGGCTTCAGTCTTTTTATTTTTCTTTACTTTTTTTTTAAAGACTTATAGTTTTAGTAATAGCCCTCGAATTCCAATTCCTGATTAAGAACAGAGTCCAAGCAGAACATAGAAGACAATGCACACATTGCTTCACCTCTATCATCTCTAACAATGAACAGCTGAGGTCTTTCCAAGATCTGTATCATCTCTAACCACCAAGATCTCTTAAAGACCCACTGATTTTGATACAAAATGGTATAGATAAGGTCCTTAGGATGTATCCAACCATACCGGACTGCTACAATGGCAACAAACATCACCTAAATTCCCCATGAATCAAAGAGCTCTCTACCCACAAAGCTATCTTCAGTATGCAAATCAAGGCCACTAAACATCTAAATCTGGTTGTAGCATCCCTAATGATAACTTGAATGATGTTTTCAAAAGGAAGATGACCATTCTCAAAGCATCTCCTATTCCTTCAAGCACATGAGTAGTATATGGTGGCACAAGAAGGCACCTTTTAGCTCAAGTCGTTAAACTTTTCCCCAACAATAAGTGACCATCCACTGGACCTAATCAAGCCATGGTTTTCTCCTAATCTAGACAAGTTTCGACATTGCCAAAATTATCTCCAAACAAAAAGTGTATTAACAGGCCTGACCACGGAAATATTCATCTCTCAAACTTTAGAACAGTTTAACTGCTGTTAGCCCCAAAAGAGAGAACCACTAACAAGAGCCCAACTGCCTTGACACTTGAGAGGTCTACTAAAGTACTAAGGCAAAGAAATTGTTGCAACCACTCAGTTATATAAGATCTTAAAATCGTATTGCATGGAGCAATTGTTTTTCCTATTTGGGTAAGGTTATCTTCCTTCACTATGTACTTGTAAGAGAGGACATATATCCTATCAGATTGAGTGGACCAACCCATAATCATCATCATCTAGGCCTTATCCCAACTATAGGGGGTGGGCTACATGAATTCTGTTTCACTATTCTTTTTTTTTTTTTAACTGTAAGGTAAAGTATTTCATTAAATCAAAAGACAAAATACAATGAATCCCCTGTACAATGAGAAACTGAACAGAGAATATACAATTCTGCCCAATACAGCCCAATGCCCAGAACAATCTATCCATTCCTTACAAAAAGGAAATCAAAATAAAAAAAAAGAACTAGAATGTCTGTTTCTAAATAAAGGGTGAACTGCCAACCATGAATGAGCCATCCCCAGTATTTTGCTTAAGATTACTTCCTTTGAAGTCTGATCCCCTTCAAACAAACTCCTGTTTCTTTCACACCACACAACCCAGAAAACTGTTAAGGGGAGTGTGCTCCATGCTACCTTTCCGGCCCCACTTAATCCTTCTAGACACCATGCCCCTATGAATCCCTTCACATTGGCTGGGAAGCACAGCTTAACACCAAACAGACCTAACAGTCTTAACCAGATCCAGAGAGTAAACTCACAGTGAATCAGCAAATGGCTAGACGATTCCGCATTTCCATTGCATAAAGGACAAGCCAAATCCCCCACGTCCAAGATTCTCTTTTGTTAGGAACTTGCCCAGCACTGCTAACCATACAAAGAAGGCCAGTTTAGATCGTACAGCTTTGGTCCATATCTTGTCACTTGGGGAAGAAGTAGAATCCTCCCTTGATACATAATTGAAGAATGATTTTACAGAAAAGCTATTTCAAACAGATCATGAAATATGGACATCAAAGGACCTTCTTCAAACCAGTGATCCTTCCAAAAGAGAACCCTCCGACCATTTCCCACTTTATGCTTTATGCCCTTCAAAAATTGAGCTTGTATTTTCTGAATTGCCTTCCAATTTGAACATCCATAGGCTGATCTGACCTCTTCAGTTTCCCACTCCCTGTTACTAGACCCATATTTGTCTACAATAACCTTCTCCACAGGCTATCTGACTGCTCATTAAATCTCCATAACCATTTTCCAAGCAATGCAGTGTTTACATCATTCGCTGATCTAATCCCTAGGTTCCCATTAGCTTTAGAGCAGAAATTTTTCTTCCAGTTTACCAAGTGACATTTTGATTCCTCCTTCCATCCCCCCCACAAAAAATCCCTCATCTTTTTTTCCAATGCTGCAGCCCACTTAGCTGGAATTGGGAATAGGGATAGATAGAACACAGGAAGGGAGGACAGAACACATTTAATAGACAATTACCAACCATTCCATTCTTTTTACTATCACAATAGCCATGATGCATGAGTAAATAGACAATTACCAACCACCATATAAGAGTGATACTACAAATAATCATCTGCTAGTCCCATCATTCAAAGGTAGCAAAAAAACTAGAGGTGACTTCTTTTAATGGTGAAACTGTGCAGTTCTATGCAAGAAGTTCATTACATGAATCATGAAACTTTGATAGGCATCCAAGCATACTGTATTACTGTTCCTTGGAATTGATGTTCATAAATATTAGTATACTTACATTCTAAAAGTGAGAACTGAAAAGAAATACAGATATTTTTGAAAATTATTATATTGGATAGGTACAATTGTTTTTTTTTTTTAACTTTAATATTAGATAGAAACAATAAACAGAACATATATATAGAAGTGTTAATTAGCCGATCAAGAAAAGAGGTGAAGGAAAGATATTGTTCACAAAGACGCTATATTGTGTATAAAGACCGCACATCTTTGTAAATTCATACAGTCTACATGAATGAACAAATTTAAGATTTCTTCAGCATTTTTCTAACTATTTAGCAATTCTTCTTTATCTTTTTACTTAATTTTTTCATTCAGTTATCACAATGCAGATTTGCTGTTTTATTGTCTTCATGGTAGCTCTTCAACTGCCTCTTTGGCATTTTAGGATATTGCTGCTAAGCAAGAAAAAAGAATCTAACCAGATGATTGTGGCAATAATCCAAACCAGATGACCATATCTATGTCAAACAATTGAAAATTACCTCCAAAGTATCTCTTGGTTCCTTTGTCTTCGCATCAATAAGCTCAATGGTGACAGGTTTTCCATCCCTTGCTGGAATGATCTATTGAAAACATCAAAGAATGGCATAAACTCGTTATCTTATGCAAGGCTACAGAATTTGGAAATATTAACTGTGAAACATAAAGCACCTTGCTTGCAAATACACCAGTATGGTAATCAATCTTCCGAGGATTTATAAGAACCCTTTGGGCTGACTTCCCAATCTCAGGATCAAAGCCAGGCATAAGCTGATCTAGCGCTTCAATAAAAGTGACCTGTGTAACAACTTCATAATTAGACTGGCCGAACATGGGAAAAAAATAGAGTGCTGACAATGACATAACATAGAGAAACAGAATGATGAAATTCAATTAGCTCCTCCCACTGTGTGATAATAGGCATGTTCAATAAATAAAGAAAACTTTATTTAGAAAAAAGAGGAAGTGTCTAGAGGAGAAGGGAATTGCAAAGATCAAATGAGAAAACTAACTTTTGCACATGCATTAATAAAAACAAAAGAACACAAGAAAATCAATTGAAGCAGAAATTCCAAAATCTAATAAGAATGGCAGTCAACTTTGAAACTGGAAACAGCTTTCTGGGAAGCCAAACCATAATCTATATACTAATTTCTGTTTAATGTAGAATCCAGTGAACCTGGAGTCTTAAGATGATTGAATTGATTTAGCTGTGTTGCAAACTGTCAATTGTTTTTAACAAATGTAGTTACACTTAGATCTAGTAAATAATAATTCCTCAGGAATATCAGTTTAAAAAGCAGGATGTACTCGTAGAAAGATTTCAGAAGTTGATATCCTACTTCTAAGTTCTAAACAGGAAGTTGACAATCACACTATCCTGCCTGTAAACCCAAATGAATGGCATTTACTAGGAAAGTTATTCCCATTTTCCCTTTATCATCAATACATCTAATGTGTACTTAAAAAAAAAAAACAAATTTCAGTTTTCTTATTCTTCCTTAAACAAAAGCTAATTAATTAAATACTGATTTAGTGTTACTATTGCCTTCAAATTGAAATAAGCATAACAAACTTTATTTAACATGAAAAACAAGATACATCACTAACATATTTAACATGAAATAGGAATAACTACCTCGCTTCCAAGTGCTGTATACACATCACTAAATTCAAGCCCTATGTAACCACTTCCTACAATAGCGATCCAATCAGGAATGAACTCCAGCTTGAGTGCATGATCACTGGTAATTACAGTCTTACCTGCAGGGATATTAACCAAAAGAATGTAATAATTCCATAAGCATACAGGTAAATTGGATAATTGTAGAGAAAGACAAGCTTTTAGCCATAACCAAGAGACAAAATACATTGTTAAATCAACTGCTCATTTTCTTTCATTGATTATGAGAAAATATATCAGAAAGTGGAATCAAATGTTAGCATAAATAAAATGCAGCAAGCTCCACACGGCATAAGATGAAAACCAACAGCTGCAAGCCTGCAATAGACCACAAAGAACGAAAAAAAAAAAGATTCCTCAAACCAGTGATATAAAAGGTATGCATAGGTGCACAGGCAAGACCATAGTTGTCAAGGCAATGCCTGGGCACCAATAAAAAGCAGCCTCGTTTAATCACCAAGGTAATTCGTACATGGTGCTATTGGATACTTTTATAATCCTTTTTCTTGAGATTATAATACTAAAACAGACATTATTAAACTAAATTATTCAGTCCGTGAATTAAAATACTAGATTCTTTTTATTATTTTCTTATTTGTTAGGATTCCATCAACATGTATGCTGTTGTGAACCCTTAGACTTCAAAACGTGAACTGATAAGCAAGATAATTTTCTGTGAAAATTTGAGAGAAAAATGAATTGATTGTATTGTCTTGGAAGGAGCATATACACAACTTTATATAGAATTACAAAACTAATTTACAGGGTGATAAAATAGGAAACTAACTTTTCCTAAAAAACTAATTTCTATATCAGTGGGATTCTCCAATTAATATCCCATGATTCTAGGAAATTAAGTTTCCTAAATTGATGGACCTAAAATTATGGAGAATCAATCAGAGAGTCAATCTTCTACTTTCCAACAGTTATTATAATATAGTGGAAGTTGTACTTAACTAACCAGGAGAGGTTGCATCTCGTGTCTCTCCTTGAGACATTATACTATTCTCCTCTGCTGATTAATAAATCTCATTCATTTATCAAAAAAAGAAGAAGCAACTTCTGATGAAGGAGAATCTTCGACTTCCACAGAAGCTTGCTGTAATAATAACGGCCTCTGTACTCGTAAATATGAAACAAGTACCAAAGGAGAATCGAAAAGCATCAATATACTTTCCTTAGATGAAGAACACCTTCTAGAAATTCTAGAAGATATTCTTGATGAAGAAACTAGAAAGAAGCATTTGCTTATAGCAATGCAAAGTAACAGGGAGAAAAATAAAAATCAAAAATCTAAAAAAGATTTACTTTCATCAGAAAATATAATATCATATGATGAAATTATAAAATGAGAATAGAAAGGCATTCTCCTTCATCAGAAGTTAAAGGATTCTAATTGTTGGTATAATTATTTTGTAATATCTTTTGAGTGTCTTTGTATGAGCTTTGTAATTTTCTTTCTTTGTGTGAAGCTTTGTAATTCCTTCTGAGTGTTGTGTAAGTTTTGTATTCTCTCATTGAGTTTTGAAGTTTGCCTTGCTTTAAATCTCTGTAGGTGTTTTCCTATGTTTTATACTATGCAGTATATTATTTTATTATACTTCATTTTATATCATCGGGTTTTATATTATCTGGTTTATTTTATCCATCTAGCCCTGCATTTAACAACAACAACAACAACAACAACAATAATAATAATAATAATAGGGTAAATTTCTTAAACTACCCCTATTGTTTAGCTAATTGACAAACTTTACCCTTATTGTTTAATTATTGTCTTAGAGTACCCCTAAGTTTTTTTGACAATTGTCTAAAACCTCCTTGCCATTAACACTGTTAACGGAATGACGAAAAATGACTATTTTACCCATTATTTTCTTTCAAATTTAGAGAGAGAGAGAGAGAGAGGTTGCGCCACTGGTAGACAGTGGAACAGGGGAGGGCTGAATTTGGAATTTGGATCTGCAACCGGGAACAAAGGATGCACCGATATCTGTAATCAGGTTGATGGAATCATCCCCTATGAAATCCACCTGAAAACACTATTATCATCCCCAACCTCATTTCTTCTCACAGCCTTCGATGTTGTCGGTAACTTCTCCATCAGCCCAACTAGAATCATGCGCTCTGTCCGAAGCCCTTCTCTACCGTAACAAGGTGCCAAATATGAATCCAGATGTTCATAATGAAAAACTCCATCCGTTGAAATGTTCAGGGTTCGAGTATGAATCTGGTAAATACCACCATCTGTAAGTCATCTAAGGGATTGGTTACTACCACCATTTGTAAGTCATCTAAGAGGAGGGTAATTGGGATTGACCAACATCTATTAATTTGCCCACTTTCAACCTCTTTAATCATGGAAGCCATTCATTTTTCTTTCTAGTCATGTGGAATCTTCAACAATCTATGTCAGTACGATATCAGAGACGAAGAATCTACAAAGGGAAGTCAAAGAGGATGAGAAGAAATTTGGGGATCTCATGGAATCAAAGGAAGAGATGGTGGAGATTGAAGGGAAATTTGGGGATCTTGCATTAGTTGATGATTATGAGAAGAATGTAGTTGAACCGGAGGGTGCAAAATCTGTAAATGGAAATAAATCAAGAGAGATGAATGGAGGTGGTGGTTACAATTTGAGGTTCAGGATGGTGGTATTTACCAGATTCATATTCAAACCCAGATTGGGATAGGGATAGGGCATTGGGACGACATGCTGATTTATGGGTTTCATGGGTTGAGGTTGAGAATGGGGAGGTGACGGAAGAAGACGTTGTCCAAAAGTCGAAGGAGAAGAAATGAGTACTCAGATGGGGACAATAGTCTATTTTTGTTAACATATTCTGATGAAGATAGTGATTATGACAGCGATTTGGACGGTGTCGTGGATGAGCTTGCCATCACTGATTCCCAATTCGGTGGCCTCAGGATTTCGGCTTTCTCTGAAGAAGAGGAGGATGATTGAGTGACAGATGATAGCAATGAGGAGCCTTCACTCAATCTCACATGAGTTGTAGTGGCGGTCTTCTCTCCCCCCTCTCTCTCTTCCTTCTTCTCCCTTTCTCTTCTTTTTCCTTTTTTTTTTCTCTACTACCTCCCATTCCTGTCACCACCGTTTTTCACAACCGCTGGTAGATGGTGGAACAGGGGGAAGGTGGAATTTGGATCTGCAACCGGGAATAAAGGATGCAGCAGCAGCAGGAGCTGTCATCAGAGAAGCCATCACAATCGTTGTTGTCGGTTCCTACCCTCGTTGACGTCACTTCCTTCGCTGCGAAATTGAAGCGGTTCCTACCCTCAATCGGGAACTGAAGATTCTCCACCGTAGCTTCTATTGCTGCCGCCGCTGCAAACTTCAATCTTGTGTTCTTTATTCAAGTGTGAGGATGAGGATGAAGACGAAGCATGGCTCTGTTCTTTGTTCCATGTACTTGACACTGGCTTTTCAGCACTAGAATGTTTCTTATAGGTCTGTCACAGAACCCAGGAAATCATCAACTACTGTGTAGGATTCTGAAGCATGCAACAAAGCAGAAAATCATTGCCGGAATGGTGGAAATGGGTTTTGGTTTAGAAGACAGGAGAAGAAAGCTGAGCTGGTGGTGTTGTTGGTGCTGGAGCTGCCGCTGCACCTGCTGCGGCTGAGGCAAAGGAGAGAAGGTTGAAGAGAGGAAAAGGAGAAGTGAAGAGAAGAGGGATGAAGGGTAGTATTGGGTATTAAAAAAAATTATACGTCACGTGGTGTCACGTGTGTACAAATTTTGATGGAACATTAACGGATGCTAACGGCAGGGATAGAGCTAGTCAATTGTCATAAAACTTAGGGGTACTCTAAGACAGTAGTTAAACAGTAAGGATTTTGTTTGTCAATTAGCTAAACAGTAGGGGTAGTTTAAGAAATTTGCCCTAATAATAATAAAAAAAATGAACAACATTAGCAAGATGCACACTTGAGCTAAGGGTGCACACCTTTTCAAAGGGGCTGTGCCTAGCCTATAATTTTCAAGGCTTCAAGGTGAGGCTAGGCCATAGACGGGTGCCTTGTTGCCTAGCCACCTAGGTGATGGATTTTTCTTTCTTTTTTTTGAATAAAAACCATGAATACTAGCATAATTCCCTAGGTTTCATAGCAAGCAGCAACCATCTTTTACTAGCAATTCTGTAATTGTCTACAATCTTCATAATAAAATGTATAAAGTTCATTTAAAATGCAGAAAGTCAACATATTCATGAAAAAATGGAAAAAAGAAAAGAAATCTCAGAAAATAATCAATATGTGTTGATTGGAAAATGTTGGAAAGTAGAAGATTGACTCTCTGATTGATTCTCCATAATTTTAGGTCCATCAGTTTAAGAAACTTAATTTCCTAGAATCATGGGATATTAATTGGAGAATCCCACTGATATAGAAATTAGTTTTTTAGGAAAAGTTAGTTTCCTATTTTATCACCCTGTAAATTAGCTCTGTAATTCTATATAAAGTTGTGTATATGCTCCTTCCAAGACAATACAATCAATTCATTTTTCTCTCAAATTTTCACAATAACTTACCACCTAGGAGTCCCCTTCAACTAGGAGATGCTCCACCCCAAGCTGGTTAGCAATCTAAATTCCTTGTACTGCAGCTAGTATTTCCGCCCTCGTAGAGTCCCCCACTCCCACCGGTCCTGAGAATAAGGAGATAATGTTGCTGTCCTTGTTCCTCAGGACACCCCCAATACCTGATGGCCCAGGGTTACCTTGGCTGCTTCCATCAAAATTTAACTTGATGATACCTTCTAACGGTGGATCCCATTCTGATAAGCGTTTGTTCTTCTTTGTAGCAGTATTAGCTATTATTAACCAATTCCTTCACAAATCATCAAAAGAGAAATCATCGAATATCTCCAAGGTTTTCAGCCAATGTATTGCTCTTGTTAGAATGCAGTCCTTCGCTTCTTCTAATATTCTTTCCTTCTCTAAGAAAACTCAAGCATTCCTTTCCTCCCATAGTGTCCATAAGGTTGCTGCCCTGACACATTTCCACATGAACTTGCCTCTTCTAGTGTGCCAAACAAAAAAAGAAGGGTTAAATAACATA